ATTATTATTATTATTATTATTATTATTATTATTATTATTATTATTATTATTATTATTATTATTATTATTTATTTATTAAAAAAAAAAAAACTTACCAACTTTAATTCCTTTTTTCAAAGGAATCATAATATAAAGGACCAAAATAATAAGGTGCTACAACCATCCATAAACGCGTTGACCACCTAACATTTTAAAAATTATACCAAATCTTTCATATACTTATTTTGGTCAATGGATTAATTACTATTATCGAGTTTGGTTTAATTTACCACCACTACATGAATATCTTTTATACTAACGTGAAAAATTTCCTTTTGATTTACAAACATTTAATCAATTTAATGAAAATTTTATGGATTTTCGGGATTCAGCTTCTGTAGAAAAACTTTGGTCATCTATGGGATTTCTACATTTAAAACAGCGAAATAGACTTTATATAAATATATTTTTTAAAAAAAATTGAATATACAGAATTAAATTTATATTTAACTATATTTATTATGTTTTTTTTTTTATATTGTAGCATGATAAGATACTTGGAATGTTTCAATTAAGAAGTGATATTCTGCGTAAGAAAAAACAAGTAGAAATTGAAAAAGCAGAAAATCTTATAAATGAAGTAATATATTCAAAACCTTTACAAGCCTGATGTCATTGCAATTGTTGTACTAGGAATACTGATAAAAGTTCAGAAATGAGATATTGGGCTGGACACCATGATAAAGACGTTTTAGAGCTTTAACACAAAATGTGGAGGTGAATTCCGGATCCCAAAAAAATGATTGTTTTCATCAATTAATACCTCAAGTTCCAGCCTTAATGTTAACTAGTATATTTTTTTTTTTTTGATATTATATGATAATTATTATCGTTACTTTAATATTTTTCAATGAAATTTGAAACAAGAATATTAATTTAATAGAGTAGAATATTTTGAACTTTAGTTGTCTATATTCATTAATACAAATTTCATCTAATTTCTTACTTATAATGATAATTATTTATATTTCACTATTTCAATTACATAAAGTATGTTAAAAATTTTCATATTAAAATAAGAATTTGTATGTTTACTAACTTTGATTGAATTATTTTTTAAAATCTTATAAATACAAACTTAAAAATTAAATAAAATTTCAATGCAAACATTAATATAAAAAAAATTCTTTCATAACTTAGGTAATTTATTTTCACTTCCGGAAATTAATTATTCTTTAATAACACGTCCAGATATTGATAAGAAACAGAGTAGATAAGAAATAAAATTATTTATGAAATGGGATTCCACCACCACAATTTGGAGAATTACGAATTAAAATTTTTAATGAAATATTGATTGCATCAAAAATCTTCAGCAATGGTCTATTTGGAGTTAATGTGTGATTTAAATAAAATAATTTGTTTAATAATGAATAACATGATTCTCTCAGATTACCAGTTATCATTTGACATACTAATTTATCGTATGTTCAAGTATCATTTCATTTTGGGAGTACCATCATTTAACCCGTTTATATATTCCTCGAACCTTGTCTTGAAAATATTTATCGATTTGCTTATATTTTTCATCTGAAAGGGTGGTTCTTATCTCTAATCGTATATCGTAAATCAGGTATAAAGGCCAATGATAAGTCTAGCTCTTTTCCTATGTCAACAAATTCCATCTGGTCTCCCGTGGTTGGGCATAAATCAAAATCCATATCTGCCTTGATTACTACATAAGTAAAGCATTCGCCTGGGTCAGGTATCTTATTCTTGTAAAATGATGAATACATTGGTTTGTGCATTAGGCTTCCACGTATCGGTTTAATAAATTGGTCATATTATAATTGTTTAGGATCCGATATAGCTTCTCTAATAACATTTTCAACAATTGTGTGAACCAAGTCCTTATTATCAACTTCCATCGCCTTTCTCATATCATAATCCATATACCGATAATTTTGAAAACTTGGGATTACGGTATCAATTGGTTCAGGATTTACCTCTCTTTCATGCGGAACTTCTAAATATTCTTTTTACCGACGAAGCATACTGGAAATAGTACCTGTGGAAAATCTATTGTATATAGAAAATGATGAATTAAAAAAAAAAAAAATAATAATAAAATTAATAAATGAATTCAATATAAAAGAAGAGAATACTCTTCGTATACCATTTTATGATAGGTCTACTTGCTTTTTAATCTAAGATAGACATTTAATTACATTTATTATACCTCTTATAGACCAGATCATATTTCTTATAATAATATTAAGGACAAGTGACCCTCCCGATTATTTATTATTTTTTTGTTATCCTTGTTTTCCTTTCTTGAACATTTTCTCATGTTTGCTCCTTATGAAAGAAATCTTTATAGAAAAGCTCACTCACCCTCCATAGTAATTTCAACATATTATTGTTTTGCAGTTGAGAATTTTGGTTTTCCGTGGTAGACATGATAATTCTGATGGTATATTATCCAGGTGGAAAAAGTTCAAAATGAAATTAATTATTCCGAATATTCGAAATATTTCTTTTTGCCAATGAAGCATACTGGAAATAGTATGCCATTTAAAGATAAGTTGTCCTGTTTTTTTTAATCTAAGATAGGCATTTACTTCATTGCGCAATTTCTTCAATGTATTCCAGTTTTTGAGATTGTACCTTTCCATTATCATAGGCCAGATCGTACAAGTGAAATATAAAGAGTCGATACCTCCATGTTTGATACCCCAATTATTTATTTTTTTGCTATCCTTGCTTTTCTTTCTCGAAAAATTTCCCATGTTTTCTTCTCATGAAAAAAATTGTTTTGCGATTGAGAATTTTGATTTTTTCTTATAGACATGATAATTCTGATTATATATTATCCAGTTGAAAAAAGTTCAAAATGAAATTAATTCCGAAGAAGATATTATAAAAAAAAAACTCACATCATGAGTTGATTATGGCTTTCTTATATTCTTAGAAATAGGGAAGCTGTAGTTGTTATTGATAAGGATACAAGTTTATTAGAAATCCTGCCACGTGTACATTGGTAAGTTAACTTTTTCAGTTATCGCAAATGGCAAATAAATATCAAAAAATATAAAGAACCCATCATAGTTAACTTTTTTTTTTTTACTAGGACGGAATTTTTATTAGGGTAAACAATTAGATAATTTATTTTATGCGGACATAAGAAAGCAGTTTTTTTTTTTAATTGCATTAATTTTATTTATTTTATGGCACATATCTTTTAATAAAAGCGCCTGAATACAATATTCCGACTGCTACCCAAAGAATTGTAAAAATAATCCCAAAAAAATTGTTAATAATAATGGTGGAAACATAATTAGAAAAACTATAAAGCAATTATCATTTCTATAAAAAAAATACACTTCAATTAAAATAATTAGTGTCTGAACACCATAGACAATTGAATTTAATAAAATTGCAAATTTATTTGTTAGATCTTCATTTTCTGAATATATTTTATTAAAAATGATAATCGCGAGAGTAGAAAGCGTAATGATAGTTAAAACGATTAAATCGACAATGAAATCCTAATTATTTAATAAAATATCGGCGCAAAAGCTAATAACACATTAATAAACATGTGAACATTAGTGAGAAACATATTCATATTATTTAACTCAACATAAAATACATACCCCTTTTTTCTTTACTACGGAAACTGCTTCTGAAACTGCCTCTGAAGCCTTTTTCTTTTCTTCTAAAATCGTCACCAAAAATTGAGGTTTTGATTTCTTAGGTAATTCATCATAAAATTGTCGTTGCTCTTGGCTTAAATTATTAAGAATCTTTTCCAAATTATTTGGCAAAACCAGCGGTTCTTCTGCTCCTTCTGTTTCGGTTGTTTCATCTTGCTTGCCTTTTTCTAAAGCGATATTATTTAAATACAAGTTTAATAGATAGTTAAATTAGATAATTGATGTTTATTTGCTGAGACAAACCGGAGGTTTCTGAAGTTACGGATATAATAACATCTGAATATGAAATAATAATTATTTCTAATCGTTAGTACATTGGTACATTTGACCAGATTCGAAACTGAAACATATCCATAAACCTTGAGGGTTAGACATATTTTCGAATTATTTTAGAGAATCAAGAGAACGAAAAGTTTTGAAGAATCAATTTTTTTGAAATTTTCTAAATGTAAGAGAAAATGATTTGATTAAAAAAAAGCATGAGAAAAAAGAAATGTATTTAATTTATAACAAAATCAAAATCAAAATCAAAACAGATTGACAATTTTTGACTAACTCAATAAGCTCAGTAGATGTTTTAATTATTCCATGAGAAAATAAATAAAAAAATCACGGATGACATCAATAATAAATCATTTTAATAATTTGAATTTATTTTATTTATGAGCCAATTCTTTATTATATATGAAATAATTAATAATTTCAATACACAAATATAATGATTCATATCTTTTTAATTATAAAATAATAGATTAAAAAAAATAATAAAGAGTTTTGGAATAATTTTTTAACAACTTTAAATACTTCATAATCCATAATAGAAGATTGAATCTAAATCTGAAATATGGACTTAATTACATATTACCCAAATTTATTTCTGATTCTTTCATTTGTATTTCATCTCTTTTTAAAATAGATATTAAATCAGATTCGTGAAGAGAAGTAAATTCCAAAGATTCAAAATAATTTTTCTAAATTTTAAAATGCATGATTTTAACTTGCTTTAGAAACCCTGATAAATTATTGCAATGGAGAATGGAATTAAACAATAAATTACAGCAACCACATGAAACAGTTTACCAATATGCTGTTACAGAATGAAATCATTATAGTATACAATACTAGAAACACCTGCAAATACTTAGCAATAACATTAGATAATAATAGTATTTAAAATTCAATTAGTAAATATCAATTTATTTAGTGAATGGTGATATTTTAATAACATTTCAACTAATATTTACATTTAGTGACACATATTAGTTAGTCATATGATAATAGCACAGGATCACATGTTGCCGTGACATTTAGTTACACAAAAATAATTATTAATTCATAATATCTAAATTACTGGGAGGTACAACAAAGGTTACACAATTGTAAATGGGATTTCTAGTTTTGAAATTTAATATATCCATTATACAAATCTTTTTTTTATTATAAAAATTTTTTTTTGTTAAAAAAAACCCTATGCTTATTTTTTAGTAGCTGATTTTAAAATTCAAGGTCCTTCATGCTAATTCTACAAGAACAAATTGTTTTGACTTGAATTGAGTAACAATTGATTACGTTATTTAGTTTTTATTTCAAAAATTATTAAATTGAAATTAACTTCAAATTACTTTATTGAATTTTATTAAAATAACTTTATTTAATATAATAAGTAATTTAAAATATAAAAATTTGTTTCTTTGCTAAAATTACTTTAGAAAAGGATATATTATTTTTTAAATGTTTCAAAATTAAAAGTACTAAGTTTTTTTTTCATTTATTTTTTAAGTTATTTCCAAATGTCCAAAGTAACTATTGTAACTTACTTACTAAAAATATTTTAGAAAATTCTTTCTCAGCATTCTCCAAATGTGTCCATATTTGAAGCTGGTTTAATTCAAGTTTTGGATCCTTTGATAAATTAAATTTTTTTATTATTGCTAGATTATTTTCTACTCTTTTTGAATTATTTTTCATGGCTTTAAGATTTTTATGAAGGCTTGAAATTCCTTTTTCAAGAATAAACTCTTTGAAACTTCTCCAAGATTTTTGTTTACTTTGTATATACACCAACCTGCCAAAAGTATCCGGGCAACAATTTTTTTGTCAAATTTTTAAAAAATTTTAAGGATGAATTA